CGGCCCGGCCCGCAGCTGTGAGGACGCGGCCTCCAGCCTCTGCCGCGGGGCGGGCAGTGCAGAGAAGGCGCTTGAGGCCTGTGGTCTCCTGTGGGCTTTTGTACCAAGCCTTTTCTCAGCAGGACAGGCTTTATTAATTAGAGGACTTAACAAGAGAAAAAAAGATATTTGTATCACTTGGGAATGCTGCAAAAGCCACATGTACTGTGTGAATTACTGTGGCTGAAAGACATCAGTTTGGGCAAGGGTGTTGTGCAGAACAGCACACAAAATAGGAAATACATATTTGATTGTATGCAAGCTGGTGCATGGGGACAAGCATGTCATCAGTGAGAGTTGTTATTAGTGACTTAGCTATGCAGTCATGCCATTTTCTCTTCTACTTGCTTTTTGCCTTTCCCAGCCTGTCAAACGCACCCTCTCACAAATGCAAACGCTGATTTTTCTGTGGGGCTCGACAGCTCCCTTCTCCCTCTCTGATGAGCCTCTTACACAGCTCGGGATACTCTCCAGTGGGTGAATACATGAGAAGTACGCTACGAGCACCTTAAGGTTTTCTAAAGAGTCAACAGCTTTGCATAGATAATACTGTAGTTGTTTTCTCTGAATTACAATATTCTTCTGTATGAATTATATCTTGAAATACTTATTTGAATTTTTCAACTGCAGGTTCAAGTTGTAAACACAAAAAGATTCTACTTAATAATAATGTGTATAGATCAGTGTCATGTGTGGTTGAGTTGTCCTTGTGAACTCACTTTACTGGAATGCTTGAAGGTGTAATCCAGTCTTTCAATTCAGGGAAATTTACCATTTACTTTAACAAATGGCAGCAACTGTATAAGAAATAGCACCAGGAAATATGATTCATCAAATGTTAGGAAATGCATCTATTTCAATGTTGCCTGGAAGAAAACCCCAAACCCTAGCGTATGTTGGAAGCTGTATATTTTATAGCACGGACATTTCATTTTTAGGTACAAAAATGTTCTAGTACAAAGGATACATGAGATGCAGTCAATGGTTGCAGAAAAATTTGCTGGTTTGTTACATAGCAATTAGTAACCTCGAAAACTATGTAATGCAGGTTTCTTCACACTCTGCATATTTAAATGCCTTCTTAGTTTTGCTAGTAGACATGATGCTTCCGAGTTTGCATTTATTCACATTATTAAAATTCAACATACAAGAAAAAATAGTGCAATGTGTCAATGAATTGATAATTCTTACCATTAATAAACAATATAGGATGATGTTCAGCCTCTAGATTTTAACAGCACCTTTGGGAGGTGCTAATCTCCAAATTAGTTTTACTTGCACAGTTCTGTAGTTCTATAACAATTATCTTTTTTAAAAATTTATATTCTGTGCCCTTATTCTAGTGTTCATGGATAAAAAAAAAGCAGAGTTGTCCTTCATTTTTGACAAAGAGCTACAATGCCTTAAGGATAAAGGATGCTATAGATTGTGCATCTAAACAACAATAAATGTCAGTTGTATCTCAGAAATCCTTGTTATTATTAATTTTAGAGGGAAATTTTTCTCTAGGGACACCTCAAAGGAAAAAATCAGCTATTTAACAGTGAATGAAGACTGAATAAACATGTTTGTACTAATAGTTACTAACGATTAACTGTGTGCAAAAAGACCTTGAGCTGCTTCCTTATGAACACAAATTTACATAAATAGGGTGGATTGAGACACATATTTCTGTGCCATAAATCATGAAAAAGCAGGCTATAAAGAGAGGATTTTTTTCAGTTGTTTTATTCACAAAGGTATTAGTAAACGGTAATGTATAAATTTGCCAAGTTGAGATTAAAACATACATTATACTGAATAGCCAAGTTATGTAACAGAGTACCATTACTGTAAGACTACGCAGTGTCTTATATATGTTACATTATATACTTATGTAACTCTACAAGACCATGTATATCACCTCAGAATATTTTAAAACTAACATGGAACAAGGCAAAGAATAACGATTTCATTTTGTGACTATAGGAGAACAAAACCTTTAAAGCATTTTTGTGAAACAGAACTGTGTTAAAATTATGTTTCTCAATTTAAAAAACTTAGGTTTCCCATTCAGCTCTGGGGTGTGTCTATGTGCATTTCTTCCTAGAGGGGACCCAAGGTATTTACCATGGATCTCCCAAAATATACCCATGAAAACCAACGAATGTTAAATTTTCAGCACCATGAAGTATCTCAATTAAATCTCATGTAGAATTAAGCAGTTATTGACCAATCTGAATATACTTAATGTTTCTTATGTCAGTACCAATGTTTTCTTGGTTTTATTCTGGTAAAATAAAAAACCTGACACTGGCAAGTATAGAGACAGTATCCAAGGCACTTATAATTAAGGAATTTTACCAGTTTTTAGTGTAGAAATCAATTTGATAAATATGTAGATGATTCTAATATTCAGGTCTTTAGTTAAAATACTTTTACTTGCTCATAATAGTACCTACAATGAACTAGGTACTGTACAAATATAGAAGATATGAAGCCTTACTCAGAGACCTTCGTGTAAAGCTAGGAAAACCATACCATTACACAATTCCAATGAAAAGAATTACATATAAATTCATATTTTTTAAAAATATTCTCCAAACAACTCCATTGTGAATTTTAGCCATTTCTGTACATCAGGCCCTATTACCTATGCTAAGGAGGCAGCAGTCACCTGTCTGTAAGCTGAGCTATATGTTCTGAAAGTTCTTTTTATTTATAATAAAACTGTATTTCCTTAGACTGCACAAGAGTGGAATATGCTAACAATATTACAAATAATAAATAGGCATAACAATAAAAGTGACACTTTCCTAAGGGGGCTTTCACTTGATAATAAATATGACAGCATACAACAGCTCATAGAGTAGACTAACATGGCTTAAATTATTTACTTACAACTATGTTCAGTGCAATTCAAATTGAGATTGAGTCATGTAGAATACATCTGAGAACTTGCATAAAAATTCCCCTCTCTGGTAATGCAGTGTGTTTGAGTACGTGGACTAAGATTGTATGGAATAGGATAGATTCATTTGAAAACTGAAACCTACTTCAATCTCTGAAGATTTCTGTCTGCTTGTACACAGTGCGATAACCATAAAGGGTATTGCTAACTGGCTGCTGATCAGTGCTTGTCTTGTAACTTCTAGGACTGTGTTTTTTAATAAGACATATATTATATGTAGATGCTTTCTGAAATACACTGCAAAAGGTTCATAAATTATTTTGGCAATTGTCTGTGTTTGCCATATCTTTTTACATTGCAGATGAAAAGGAAGAAGGCATTTCTGTTTATAGAGTGGCATTGTGCTTTAATCTGCTTTAGAACACATATTTTCTGTTTCTTCTCAGTGTGATCACTTTGGTTTTCTTCAGTCAGGGCTAATGTTTCTGATCCAAATCTGCTACTTAACCTTACATGAAAGGTACACTTTTACCATCTTTCTAATGAAGAGACAGTCCTTATTTCTTCTGAGCTGGCCACTGCTAATAAATCCATCCAATTTATGTTTCAAAAAGTTCAGAACTGTTTAATTTGTCTTCTTCATACAGCAAAATATTTTCCATGAGCTTCTTTTTTTGATCATTTATCTTTATTTTCCAAGATGTCTCTCTGGCTAATGCTGAAAAACAAAAGAGCCCAAATATTGAGAAAAAAATCCATCTGTTGTCTAAGGAAAAGATGATAATTTTAGATTAAAAACCAAACCAAAACAAAACAAAAACCTGGCTTAGGAAAAAAATCTGATAGAAAACCACACAACATTTTGTAGATTTTTTGGTAAAATCATAACCAAGGAGAAAAGATTTACTGAAATGTGTTTAGAAGTAGGAAGAAGAACCTAAGCAATTCTGGAGAAGAGAGTAATTTGTCCCTACTATTATAATACTAGAGCACTTTTACCAAGACTTTGGTTATCATAACAGAGCATGGGCAGTTTTGCCAAAGAAGGTGATCATATGCTTGAAGTTTTTCTTGGAGATCATATGCTTTTGAATGTTCTGCATGCACCCTTCAGATTTATCTAGATTTACCTTGTGAAGAACATGAAGAGTCGAGATCTGCATTTTTTTGTTGAAAGGCGTTCTGTGCAGTAGACACTGTTTTCAAGACGTCATCACTTTTGGTGCATGCTGCATTTCTTTCCTGGAGTCCATTTGCAGGTTTTTCCTGCTTGATCCTGTCATCAGAGGCTGCCATATTTTCTGAATTACAGCTGTTGCTAGGTAGCTCATCTGTAGATCTTTCTGAAGGATTCCATATAAAGCTACTTGATTCATCTGATTCACAAGGGACCCTTGACATTTGTCCGCAGTAAATGTCAGGTGACACAACTCCTATTAAAGGTGTGCATGGATTGACACTTGTCAGGATCACTGGCTGTGTGCTGTCCTCTTTATTCTCCCCCGCAGAAGGCACATCCATGCTGAGACTAGTTGTCTCATCATCAGTTTCTTCTGGAGTTTTCAAGGAGAATCCAGAAGTGCTGCCTTCACAAACGTAATGCTCTCTTAATTTATTTTCTGCTATTTCCATAATTTCAAGCACCTGTTTTTAACAACAACATCTGTGAACGCAGAATAATTCCTGTACCCCTTCTTACACATATTCTCCTATGTCAACACTCTCAAAAATAAGTAAGGCATGAATGTTGTAGCTTTAGACCTTGTTGACATGAAGACTAAAATCTTGGTCATGTATTTAAAATATTACCTCTGCTATGTTAGAATTCTTCTTTCTCAGACAAAGGCAGATGGCTGAGGCAAAATCAATAGCAACTTCTTCCAGCAAGTGTCCTGCTTTCCTGTCTAGATATTTATAGCATATTTCCTTGGCAGCTAGCTTTTCAAAATTTTTTACTTTGGAGTGTGAGCTTTCTTTTGCTATTTGAATTTCATCAGCAATCATATCTTTCTGTTCAAAAGAAAGAGATACATTAGTGAAGGCAAAATTAACACAAACATTTCTATCTGAATCACTGTGAGTATGAGTCTTGCCATATATTTGTTATTATCACTCCTTAATGGTGGTTTACAGACCTAAAAGCTTTAAGAATTTCCATTCATGTAACTGACAGAAATGTTTGTTTTCACAGGAGAGAAAAGGCCAAAGGTTTTCTCTGCATGTGTCTAATGTCAAATTCACTAAAGCAGACCCATCTCTTCTATGCTTATGCCCATTTATAGGAATGAAAAATAATCAACACTGTATATAGCAGCATTCTTGCACAGGACTCTTCAAATATTTCTTAAAGAAATCAGAAACCTAGGATCCTTTATTTTCTGAACCCATTTGAACATTGCTGAATTGCTTGGAAATAGTAAGTAAGAATACTATTGTTTTCCCCTCAAAGGCTTCAACAAGATGGCAAATCAGAAGGAGCATATCCCATAGAAGGAATATAGGTGGAGTCTGTTTTCACGAAGATGGTGCTAATGGCATTCAGTGAGCCTGGCCAGTTCTGCTTGCTTGTGAAAGTAGTTTGTGTAGTTCTAATCACAGCTTGGGCAAATTGGCCAGGATATAAATTCCAGACACCAGTGCAATACATAAACGCCTGATAAACATGATGATGAGCAACGGCAGCTACCACCTACCCACATTTCCCCATTCAGTTTGGCTCATAACACCTATTTCTGGCACATAAAAAACATGCAGCAGCATTTCAGCACAAAGCCTTGTCTCTTAAATAAGTATGTATTTAAACACCAGTTATTCTGGATTATCTCCTAATATAATCGGGCCAGCACTCATGAGTGTGGTAGGTGAAATAGGAATATATATTCTGCTTCTATCTAAAGGCAGGTAGGCTATTGATATTAATGGAACCAGATATGGCTTCTTAACATCCCTTCTTCAGGATGTGTACAGCAGACGGCAAATAACAAACTGTATTTATATAAAATGAAAATTCATTTTATGACAGCAACCCCATTCGTTCGTATTGGTATTCATTATTCCTGCTTTTTCCTACCAGATAAATAGGGTGTCTTCCTTCATCCAGTGCCTTAATCCCTGTCAGTATCTCTGCTAAGACCTAGAAAGTATATTTGAAAGATAAAACAATTTGTTCAGAATTAATTCTATTTTTAAAAACGAGCTTTGTAACTAAAGAAATATTGAATTGCCAGGGCATTTTGAAATTATATTTTTACTTCAAATGGCTTAACAATGCCAGATCTGGGCAATCTTTATGACACTTTAGATCTATCTCCAGAGCCAAGTCCAAATTTTATAGGTAGGTACAATAGATACTGTTGAAACAAAGGATGAGAAAAAAGTCATTCTAAATCTAGATAAGAAATCACACTGAACAGAGTACCTTCCTATTTAAATGGAAACACCTGGAGACAGGTGACATCATAGACTACCAATTATATTAGTTGAAATTCCAAATTAACAGGTGATGTTTGTAGCAGTTCATGTGGCAAATCTGCAAGAATTCTGAGAACCTAACTGCAGTCTTTCTGCTACTCTTTTTTTTTTTAAACGACCAGCAGTAATAATTTTTTTGCAACAAGAAACAATTTTGTTTCTTTTGTTCAAAAGATTCACCTCATTTTGCCAGAAACTGAAGTATATTTGGAGTGTGAACATAATTAAAAACAGGATTTCAACACATTATATAGTCAGCAACTATGATATGAAATTGCCACAAAACAACTCCGAGGCATGTGCTCTTATATCCAATTTCCTGTCTAGAAGCACCAAAGAATGCAACAGAACATGGAAAAAAGGCAACGTACCACACCACAGCCGAATATATCAACTTTTCCTGTTAACTGCCCATGTCTGATAAAATCTTCCGGCAGATAAGTAAGAGAAGCTTGTAGGACTTTGGTTTTCATCATAGCATATTCTGATTTTTTATCAACAGAATACAATCGCAGACCTGAATGTCCAAGCTTTGGTGTAAAGTTTTCATCCAACAAGACATTTGAGCTGTGATAAAGAGAGACGAGTAACAATATTGCTCAAGTAATTATTTAACTTGAGGTAAAGAATTACAGTTTTACAATTTAAAGTTAAGCACTGAATGTTTCCAGCATTTGGCCTGCTGTGTATGAATGAAATGATAAAGAATGGTAGAAAGGGAGAGGGGGAAGAACAAGCACTCCAAAAATTACTTCCAAAGAATATACTTCCATCATTTAGAAAAGAGAGACAGATTAAACATAAAACGGTAAACACCCTACAGAACAAGAGACAGCAGAAAGATACTGCAAATGGATTTCAAAATTGCATAAGCTTTCAGCCATTATTGTTAAAGAAATCCTGGAATTAACAGGTGACCTAGGAAGTGCTGATATGCCAAAACCCTCACCTTTTGATATTCCCATGAAGAATTCCAAAATTATGTATATACTCTACAGCTCGGATGAGTCCTGTAGAAATGCTAATTCGCATCTCCCAGGTCAGTGGAGCAGAATCATCCTGCAAGGAAGTGTGGAAAAAAATGCTATTTTATACAATAAAAAACTGTAAGACATTAATAGTTTTGAAAAGCATAGACGTAGTTTTAGTCCCAGTCAAAACTCCTGCTGACCTAAAACAAAAGTTTGGTCCAAGGCAGAAATGGGTGATTTCTAGGCCGAGGAAGGAACCTATTCTTATATATTGTGCTGCACATTTTGCCTGCCATAGGACACAATGAGATAGGGATACAGCAAGGATCACGCTTGCCCAAAGCATCAAGTACTGGCCATTACTGAGGCAGAGCGCTGGTTTTGATGGATTGCTTTTCTGGTGTTTCTCTGCCCTATGATTTCCTCTGCAAATGCTCTTTCAGTAGGTGTGAACATCTCAAACTGTTCCCTCTTTAGCCCTTGTAGAACTTCATAGCACATTATGCCAATGAATATGATGATGGATTCTACAGCAACATATTCCCAAATCCAATGAAATATTACAATATGAATATACACATTTTGCAGATCCCTTATTACTTTAAAAATCTGAAGGCTGCACAGCTGAAACTTCTTGACCTGATCTGCTTTGCAGTAGAAAAACTGGTAAAGAGCTGCAGCCTTTATAGTAGTCAAGATATTTGGGCACTTTTTTTTTTGTCTGTTTCTCAGAATTCAAAGAGATATAATTGCTTTTCATACAGTAACAGGACAGGACTTGTAATCACAGATAGATAATAGACCCAGATTGTTTTCTTACTTGACACTGAAGTTTGTTTTGTAGCGATCCATTAGGCAGGTATGGATATATCAGACAGTGCAATTCAGTTTCTACTGAGAAACCCAGCAGCTGCAAAATGTTGACATGACAACACCTGCAGGCACAGATCAACAATGATTCGCAAATGAAATAAGAGCAACAGAGAAAAATACATTCCTGAGCTTGAATAAATTCCTAAGGAATTGTGCTCTTTAGCTGGAAGCACAGAATGGCCCTGAGCAGGACTGCAGAAGGCTAACTAACCTAGCAGCAAAGATAGAGATCGTTATAGTGCAGCCCTGTTCTGAGCACGTAGGAGGGATACAAAGCTCCAGAAGGCACTGCCTCCTCACCATCTCAAGGACTGGCAGAGCGGCTGTGTTTGCTCAGCAGGGACCTGCAGCATCACCGGGAGGCATGCTGTTTCCCCAGGGCTCCTGCAAAGGCAGTGCATAGCCTCACTGTCCCCAGAACAGCACAGTGCCTGGGAGACAAACACATCCGTCTTAAACTAAACACACGGGTGACAGGCCACATGCAGGACACGCACAGACTGCATTTGAAAGCCAACCACTTACCGAAAGCAAATCTGTACTTCTGTATGAAAGAATCTTTGGGTAGAGTTTGGGCTTGTGCATTCCATCTGAAAAATGAAAACATGCAATGGATTGTCAATAGTAATTATTAAGATGTTGCATTTATACAGATCTTTTAGTCTCTAAATGACAAGCTACTTTATAAAATAGGCGAATATCACTGATGGCAACTTTGTGTCAAAGAACAATTAATTGAAAATTAGAACAAAAAACAGTGTAAAGACACCTCTGACCCAATCATCAATGCAGGTAGCTACATTGCAGGCTACTCCCACAGACAGAGTTAATGAGTAAAGTATCTCTCATATGTGTTTGCTGAATCTAGGTTTACTTACTTTACGTCATTTCCTTTTTACCTCTCCTCTTGTGTAGCCGTTCTGGTTCCTTGCCCATACAATATTAAACAACAACTGCTAATGTTCCAGAGATACTAATAACATAGTCCTTTCAAAGAAAAAGAAAAGGTGGAGTACTTGCCTCTTTCAGTCTTTTGATGACATACAGCATGTTGTTCCTCTGACCTTTGTAGACATCTGCAAAAGTACCTTCACAAATTCTGCTCTTGTCACTGAAACCATTTGTGGCATTAGTAACTTCCTTCTGGGTCCACAAAAGACTCCCACTGGGGAGATCAGTCACTGTCTCCTGCTGAGGAGTAGAAGAGCTGCAAGGCTACACATTTGTAGAAGAAACAAGTTTATCTCATGAAAATTCATATGCTTTTTCCTTCTTTCAGGTGTAATATTTTCTTTTCCATTATTTAAGCAATCACTGTGGTTGTTGAAAGAAACTGTGAAAGGTACTGTGCAATCACTCATTAGGGTTTTCCTTTGTAATACCTGTCTTGATGTGTTTTGCTGATGTAAAAATTTTGCATAGTAGAAGAGACTTGAAAACAGTTACCAATTTGCATTTCCACCTTTCCCAGAAAACAGACTTAGTTTTCTTTAAAAGTCCATATATTTATTTGAAGTGATGTTAGTTCTAGTTACAAAAAATATTAATCTTTATAGCTAGGGCATATATTAAGAAACAGTTGGATCAGAAAGTAGGGTCCCTCATAATGTATTTGTGTTCTGGTAGGAACTTCACGTATACTTCTGAAGCATCTGGTGTTGGTTGCACAATAATTTGTGGCTTCCAGTGTGGCAAGTCCTAATGCCAACTGTTATTACAGTTCCACTGTAGCCTAATCATGCAGCTTTCACAACCTTAATGTGCTCCAGACTTGAGAAAATAAAACATTAACTCCCTCTCAAGAAACTCTGAAACTACTGCATTCTTTGTAGCAATCTTCTCTTCTGGCTGGTACTCTTGAACCATGTTATTTTGGAAGAGTTTAAAGTCTTAAAACAGAACCTTCTTTAAAAAAACTCGAACAAAATAAACCAAAGAAAACAGGCCAAGACAGCACCATGATGGGACCAGAGTGTGCACATGGATCTGGGAAACACTCTGAGAACCCACAGGACAGATCTGGCTAGACTATCTTAAAGACAAGAGAGCTATAGAGAGGAAGGAACAGGAGACTGCATGCTGAAATCATTAGGAACGTGAGAAAAACTTACCACAGTGAGAGGGTTAAGCATTGGAACAGGGGCTCAGAGAGGTCATGGAACCTCCATCCTTGGAGATTTTAAATTGTCAGCTACACAAGGCTCTGGGCAACCTCACTTAAATTTGATACTAGCCCGGTTTTGAGCAGAAACCACATTTTAAGTATAAAACTAAACTAAAAGAAGTATGGCATTCTGACTAGTCAGTGGTATATATTGCACTGTGGAATGATCACACCAGAAATGTTAAAATCTATACTGGAAATTCCTTCAAAATTAATTGCTATTTGTGGGCATGTTATCCATGCTGAGCTATGCAGTATGCAATATTGTTAATTTTTTCCGTCACTGGTCCTTCACTGGCAAAAAAAGTGATGTAAACTGTAAGTAATCTAACTGAAGCATTAGTATTACATTCAGTCCAAACAAATTGTAATCAAGCCCCACTTTTTCACTAGATCACTGTTATAATCAATGAGTACTAAAAGGATTTACCTTCACACTTGATGAGACAGGAGGATTTGACTGTAAGGATTTCAAAAGGTGTCTTGGGGGAGGTGGTGGTGAAGGGAGTGAATACAAGGCTCCTTCAGAAACAGCACCTGAAATTGAAATAACATCATTGAAAATACACCTTATTTTTATAATACCACAACCTGTGACTAATTATGAAGGTCTGGAGTATTTTGTTGAATTTCCTAACCAGGGATAATCTGTGACAAGCTGTCAAAATGTGAAATACTGTGTGAAGATAGGGAGCTATTTTCCTGTTTCCTCTTTGCAAGATGACTAGGCAGATCTCTCTAGTCCTGGCTCGGGGACATAGAGCTCCCTATGTCTATACTGTTGGTCAGATGCTCTCCTCAGTATGTCCTGTGGTTCTGCTCCCTCCCTTTCCCAGGCAGAGGGGCCTGCTGACCCGTGCACGGCTCTCTTCTGGCCTAGATTTATTTTGCATGGAGAGAGGGACATGGGGCAGGAAATGTATGCACTGATGTAGTCTTAGTATGGAGCCAGGATGGGACCAGGGTGTTCACAGAGACCTGGGAAACATCTTGAGATCCCACAGGCTAGATATAGCCAGCATCTCTCAAGGCCAAGAGAGCTATAGGAAGGAGGAACAGGAGGCTGTGTGCTAAAGTTAGGAATAAACAGCTCAGGAGACAACAGTGCTAGGAAAAAGGCAAATATTCAAATATGACCATTTTGAAGAGCAATGTATTCATTACACTATACTGAAAGTGAATGGGAAGCGGTCTTGTCTATATGGTCATTTCAATGTTAGAGCAAATTCAGAATCTATTACTTTACTTACTAGCTGCTGGTGATACTCCCAGATGTGAAGAGTCTGGTGATGGCAACAGACTTATCTCATTTTCTCTCTCTCTATTTTTGTTTTCTGTGGGCTTTAAGGATATGTTCTCCTGTTTAGGCGGCTCTACCAGCTCTTCTTTTTCAAAGTTGGTAATATTAGAGGCTGATGTCCCTTCAAAAGAGAACAAAGGAAAGATGAAGATTACCAGGGAAAATAGAGTCTGACTCTAATCAGTTATCAGGAAATAATCCTAGTCAGGAAAACAGACTGTAAATTAAGTTGAACATTAAAATGAACATTCAAGCAATTTATTGTTAAATTGCTGGAGTACTATTGGTATTTAAATTCAGACCATATTCATGACATTAACTACTACTGAAAATTAATAAGAAGTGATAGCTTCAAACAAATACCAGTGATGACTATGCAAAAGATATATAGTCTCTTACAGTAAGAAATTAGCAATAACAGTATATTTATTTTGTCATTTTCTAAGTAGCATCCTTCAGCCAATGAACTCAAATCACAAATATCTCCCAGCCTAAAGAAGGCATCTAGTTCTTTGTTAATTGTCTTGGGGCTGAGAGGAAGTTTGACAGAATTGTATTGGTTTTAGTCAGTTAAATATTTTAGGACTATTTTCAGTTGTGTGGTTTTAGTGTCATGACCATGCTCATTCCCAGATTCTATAGAATTCAGAGTCAAAACCAAAATTACTTCTAACTCCTTATGAAGCCCTTCATAGAACAGTCCATATTGTAGTTCATCCATTGTCACAAAAGAAATCAGAGAAACAAAGGTATGTTACATCTATTACATCAGTTCAGTGTCTTAATGAGCTGAACTGCGTATGTCCATTTCTTGCCATGATCTCTTAATATTTACTTTCCCTATTTACTATCTAGCCTGCAGAAATCCTTATAAAGACCTCTATTTACTTGCATCAGCCAACTACAATTTTTAGAAACCAAGCTTTTCCTTAGGAATCACAAAGTGTACTCCTCCAGCCTGGAGGAAGTTGATTGGGTTTTATTTTTAACAGGGGGAAAATCCTCAGTTTTTGCAGCTTGTGGCAAGTGAAGTCCAAAAAGTCTCATAGATGTTTTTGAGAAAGCTAAAAAAAAAAGAAAAAGTAAATCACAGAAGCATAAGAGAAAGCAGGTAATCCCCTCGTGTACCAGAGGCTGAACTCAGGTGCATATTGCGCAAGCTACAGTGATACTGACATACCACTTAAAAGCAAATCAGTCAGACAAACAGGATGATGATGAATATTTCTGTGCAATGATGATGATTATTTTTGTCTATGTTGCCTCTTTATTTTAATGGCGATGTTGCTGGAAGCTGCTCTTGGCTTGGAAGTCTGATTCTTTGCATTTTACATAATCAGAGAGACAAATCTTACTTGGTTCTTGTGTAAGCAACCTTGTCAGGGGCTTTAAAACGCTGCCTCTGGATTTGATCCAGTGCCATATTCTGGCCTTTGCACACAGGACCAGGCCTAATGATCAGAGAACCTCTGCGCCGCCTCTGGGTTTCCAGGGGGTCGTTTTACTGAATGTGCTATACATCAGATTGTATCCAACAATGATGTGGTTTGCAAGCAATAGCTCTCTGAAATTAAATACATGAAGCTTCTCTCGGAGTGCTTCACCATGCAACGTGCTGAACTAATCTCAGTCTGAAATCTACTCATGGTCTTGTTTTCAAGGCCTGTAGAAGAAGACCTTGGGGTAAAAGCAGCATCATCTCAGTTGTTAATAACAAGTAATTTTTCTAAGCTCTTTGAACTCAGCTTTTGCAAAAATGGCAAAATTAACCCACATGGGTAAGAAAAGGCATCATACCTAACTGAACAAAACCAGCCTGTTCTGTGAAAAATAAAAATTATGTTGAAAATTGTTGCTGCTATTATGTAGTGGTGAAAACATTCAGTAATTTTTCAATTTCAGCTGGAAATTTCAGTTTGGAATTTCTCTCTTAGAAGGAGAATGCAGGGTTTTTTTTAATTAAATCACAATGTATAAAGTGGCATTACAGAAATGGCAATGAACTCTGTGAAGGAATACGCTGAATTAAGCCAGCTGTAAAAAAAGGTGGGCCACAGAACGCGCTCTGACAGGGAAGAAGGCAAAGACTGTAACTAATTAGAGTTTAAGGTGTGGTAGGTTATCCTGTGTTATATAAGAGCACCCAGAAACTCTCTTTATGGACTAGGAATCAACTGTGTTAAATACTGAACAGGCACAGAGCAAAAGTGTCATCACATCCTGGAAGTCACCCTCTACTCCAGAGTATCCATAAAAATACCATTATCAGGGAGCCAGGCTTATTGGATTGGTGATATCTAGATCAGATTTATTCAATGTATAGATTAAAAAAAAAATCCTGTCCACTCAGACTGGACCCTCAAAGTCACAGTCACTGTGACTAAATTAACAATTGGATTACTGATATTCAAATTAAAACAGATTCGAATTCACTTTCCTGTAGCTTGCTTTGCTTTGCTGAGGAATGAGGAGTTAAGAATTGTTACAGTCTCCTAAGCTGAATGCTGTGACTGAATTCAGTTAGAAAGTGGATCTGCTGAATCAAAAAAGGCTGCATATGGGTGATGCCAAAATCAGTTATATTAACTGAGCAACGCTCTCGTTAGGGTCTGTGGTTATTGTGTTTGATGTACTAAGACAGAATTTGCTTGAAGGTTGCTTGTGCTGTAGTACTTAATATTCCTTTTAAAAAAAAAAAGAAAATAGAAATTTAGAATACCATTGCTAAAGATTTTTTTTTCTGCCATACCAAAATGAAGGTTAAAAGTCATGCTAATGCCAGGAAACTACAGAAAAACAGCAGTGCTACACAAAGAAATGCTGTGGCAAGAAACCCATGATGCATTATTGGACTTTCCATGAGAAATGCCTCTAGCTGCTGTGCGGCGAATGCCAGCTGCACCTCTGACTGCTGGTGGCCCTGCCCTGTGGAGGCAGGGTGCCGTTTCGCAACAGCTACTCGTCATGCAACTCAAAACCACTTGTGTCGCTGACAGTTTCACTGTCACAGAATGTGAGAAGCAGATGGTGCTCCCGCACCTGTGGGAGTGGGACCCTGTTTTCCACCTGTGGAAGCATGCGCCCTCATAGGCTTTGAGCGTTTCCCTTATGCAGCTGAATAGTACGTCTCTAAGCATTTTTGCCGACGTAACAAAAATCTGTACTTTTTCTTTCTAGTAATTCACTATAGAGAACTGGCAAAATTCATACAAACATTTGATTTCCAGAAAGTAGATTTGAGGTGGAATATGTGTGAAAAGGGTCCACTGCCAACTTTTTGGGGCAACTCAATACAGAAAGACAGTATGTTGTCCAGGGTTCAATGGATTTCATAGTAGAACTGGATTAAGGTACAATTTGGCTTACAAAAATGGAGAGCTGCAAATTAAACATAATTTTCAGTGGAGAAAAATGGAAAGGAAAATTATATTTAAAAGTGTTGTGATTTCTATAAGGCAATTGTTTACCTTAACTAGGCACACTGAGTTCAATCTCTAATCATCCTACCTCAAAAAGATAAATCTGAAATAGAGCAAACGAGATAGGTGAGAAGAATTACATGCAAAGAGTTAGAAAAGACTACAGTTGTTTAATTTATGGAGGGATCAAGGAGAACATATGATAGGAATAGAGAATATATGAAGTGGGATAAAGAAATAGTAACGTAGGTAGTCAATAAACCATTTCTTTTTCATAAACTTTTTCTTATGGTGCAGGAAAGCAGGCTGCATAGGCAAAACGATTATATGTTTTTCACTCTGAGTTTGTTGACAATTAGAGTATAATGACAAAATTTCACAGAGAAACAAGAATGTGTGAAAAATTAAAACATTTATAATTAATCTCTGTTTTGAAACCCTGTCTGATGCATGAAAGTACCACCCCCAGTTCAGAGCACAGCCAATCTCTCTTTGGCACCTCTCGAAGCATCTAAGATGGCCACTACAAAGGTGGGATGATAAACTAGAGGGACCAGTGATTCCTCCTCTATGTCCCTTCTTCCTATCCCCCCACAAATTTTATTTGAGAGAGTAGAACATCACAATCAGTGGAGAAATTTTGGAATTTGAGCATGAGACTCCCAACAAAAAGTTTCTTCAGCTAGCAAGACACATTTACTGGATTGGGTCTAGGTGCTCTGAGAAGAAGCACAGACTGCCCTCGGGAGGAAGGGGCAGCTACTCACAGTCCAGAATGACTTGAGCCGCTCGGTAGAGCTGCAGTCCTTGCAGCAGGTCCAGCAGCTGCTGTACTGTCGCCAGCCTCACTCCCCACCACCACATGAGCTCTCTTGTTATGCTGATCCCCGTCTTCTCCATGCACTTGATTTTCCGTAGCTCTGTTTGATCAGTTATCACGTAGGAGGCTAGTGGGAGACAACGGATATTTCTGTTTAAAAATTAGAAAAAACAAGCAAGTGCAACCATGGAAAGCTAAGGTGTGAGACACACTTTGCTTTTTCATTTGCACATTTTTAAATTAGCTATGTGGACATGAAGAACAAATAAGATATTGCCTTTATTCCTTTGACTGTTCTGGAAAAAAAGTTGTTTTTATCAGAGACCCAAAAAGAAAACCCAGTCACACTTTTCAGCATATTTTCCCCATAATCTTCCTTCACGTTAACACTTTGTACCAAAATAAGTTCAGATTAATCTCCTGGTGTGATTCTCCCAAAATAGGTAACAGAAGTCAGTGGTGAGACTGCAGTCCTGTCTACATTACTAAATACCAATATTATGGTAAGCCAAATAGTAACTGAATCCTCCATGTGTTACTTACAGTCAGATAAACGTATTGGTGAAATGCAGCTATTTTTAAGAACAGGAGATACCGTGCTAAAGCTGACCCTACGTAATTTTTCCCGATTCCTGAATGCTCACAGTATGCTGGGTTACCCCCCCATACTCCTCTCGGCTCGCTTACCAACATGGAATCCACCTCCCCTTACTTAGCTCCTGCTAAATCTGATGCACCTGGCCACAGCGTAAGCGTTAGAGTTACAGCACTGTGGGCTAGAGGAGGGCGAGGTAACAAGAACGGTAAAACAACAAACGTGTCTAAGAATGCTCCTGCATTTGGGATGGGGCTATGTCGCAGCTTCCCCATCCGTCAGTGCCTGCCGGACGGCAGCGAGAGGCCTTGTCTGCCCTGGGGAGCCCTCTGCCTGCTTCGGTCTGCAGGGCGGGAGGTGGCAGCCACAGGTCCTTTGGGCAGAGGATCTGGGGAGTGAAGCCAGGACAAATTGTGCTGTCCTGGGATTTTGTGTAAATTCAGCTGTGCTCATTTGTGGTCTCTGGGGGCTGGTGGAGATACCCACCAAAGGTGCCTGTCTGACTCAGCCCCTCTCAGCTGACCCGCACCTGATGTGCTTCTTGCTTAGCCTTAAGCAGAGGGGCTTGGGGGCCGGGGGGTGTGCGTGTGGAAACAAGGATTCCCGAGTTCACACCTCAGCTGGCTTTAGAAGGACATTAGACATACAGTTCTATGTATCTGAAGATAGCGGAGATAAATCCCACCCTAAGTCAGCAAATTTAACTGGGGTAAGAGTTTACTCAGCAGAGTTAGTGAAGTCTTGAATGAAATTAAATCATGTTAAATAAAGGAAGGTAGGCCAACTACGAAAAAATTCAGGTTAGAATTGTTTGGATTGGGATACAGAAATAAGAATAAAAAGCTCAGGACTACATTTTCTATACTTATTAACTGGACATGGCCAGGACTGAGAAAAATAGGGGCAGTAAGTATGAGGCAATATACATGAAGTGAAGGAAGAAAGAAAAAAATAGAACATCTAAGCACATGTGAGGGATGTTGTGGAAACAGGCAAGCAGCGAGAAGTAGCAGAAGATAAAGTGCGAACGGAGAGGGGAGTGCGAAAGATAGCAGAGAGCAAGGGGAGGGAACCTGGCCACGCAGGAGAAGCCAAGGGAACACAGAAGTCTGGAATTCCACCTGTTAATCAGAGGTTTCGCTTGATCCTGAAAACAGATCAGTGCACGGGAGTTCCCTGCCTACAGGATGTGCTCTTCTGAGCGCTGGGGAACGACTCGGCCAGAGGCCCTGCGTGGGGACGGCTGCGTACCTCACCCGAACCTCGCGCCCTTCGACCACACGTCCTAAATGTGCCGCTGCTCCATGTGCCCCCATCGCCACCCCATCGGGTCGGGGAGTGCCAGCCCTGCTGCCAGCCCACCTGCCCCACTGTCCCCCTCTCACCAAATCGCATCCAGTCGTAGTCACTCAGGCAGTCCATCTTCTGGCAGAAATCCTCCAGCACCCAGGCAGGCATGCTGTGAATGTACAGAGCCGGGGGGGAGCCCCCTTTCAGGGCTAGGGGCGGCTGCTGCAGGGTCATTGCTTCGCAGTCCCTCTCCAGAGAGTCCTTTGTCCCCACTGTGGCCATCAGCAGCGGCTACGCATGGTGCACGCCTAGGGCAGGGATTATGGCTACAGGCAGTGACGCTCACCAGTCTCTGCCTCCTCTGCGTGCTGTGGAGGGTTGATTTTCTCGAAAAGCTTCCTCTTCTCAAAGGGGCTGGCCTTGACAGCCTGTCCCCACCCTGGCTGGACTCGCTCTTTGCTGGCGGAAGAGCCACGTGACAGAGGCAAGCGTTTCTTGGCAGGCTCAGGCCACACTCCACTGCTTCCTGCTTTGGCTGACGTCAGGCCCCGGCCCCAAATGCAAACCGGATTTTTCTTTCGATGAGTGTTTATTGCTCCAGCTTGGTTGCCAAATTACAAGTTTCACGTGATGGAGGTGAAAGATGCTTTCCTGCATGTTAAGCACCGCTGGTATTGCTGTCAGGCTATGCAACAGCTGCTCCCAGGCAAAGTGAGATGTGCGTAGGTCAGGAGCGGTGCCCAGCAGAGCTGGCTTGCCTGCTCAGCCCAGACTTTGGCCACGTTTCCAGGGCAGTCAGCTAGTGGTTTGTTCACCCATACAGGTATAAATATGTGTGTGTGTGTGTGTACACGACTGGAGATCGAGAAAGTTTCAAAGATCTCACAAGATCTGAGAAAGAAATGCATACCAACAGAGAGGGCAGTAAAAAGCACTGCCAGCTAATACTGAGCAGTGATCCTGCTGCCAGTCTGACTGTTGCCAGGATTTTACAATCATTGCAGTATATAGGATTTTACTTATTGTATGTGGTGCAATAGCAGATGCAGGGAGTGAGAAGTAAAAAACATCAAAAGTGGTCATATGGCCAGGTCTCGCTAGTCAAGGATTAGGTTTAAAATATGTTCTTAAAGTCAACAATTCTTCTAAATTTTTAGGTTTTCCCTTTTTTTCTATTTAACCTGCTTTTGATAAAAATTTGTAATTAATTAATTTGCCAGTGTACATGGCAAATACTTCTGGCAAAATGATCTACTTGGAGAGCCTTATAGCTGTACCTCTGGCATCATGGGACAGTTTGCAATACGTAATTGTAACCCATTCCTCTTTCTGTTCCTTTTGTTCATATTGAGCTCTAGGTCTTTTGTATTAATTGCAAACAGTACTGTAAGTTTTGAGAGCTTTTAATTTACTATTTCTTTATAATCTGCATATATTTTACAGTACAGCTAACTCTTGTTTTCAGTATCAAACTTTCAAACTTCGGCAGTTTTTTATACTTCTTGCCTCAGAAATCATGAACCTTTCAAGTACTATTAAAGTAACAATTAATTTCTTACCCCCAGTATGGCAAGGAAAAGCTGAAAAATGTGATATTAATGTAGCTACAAGGTCAAAAGACAGAAAAAAACCCTAAAAAAATCCAAAGTGTATTATTATTTAAAATATCACAATTCAAAGATTGCCTTGGGACCTAACTGTTTTAGCAGTACTACTAGTAGTACTATTTCAACAATAATAGTTAAATTTATGGGGTTTTCCCCTCCCTTTTCCCTGCTTACTGTCCCTCTGACACATACCTAAATTCTCTGTCATGGGAAGATGATCAGAGCATCTCTGAAAGTCACCTAAGACGAGACTGAAATTTGTGTTGCAAAGAATTGGATAAAAGCAGGAAGAAAGGACGCTTCTTTCCCTTGGGTACTGGAAAAAACTTGTGAAACTTTTTGGACTTTTGCCTCATGGGAAAACAAGGGGAAAGAATGCATCTGTGTGTACGGCTTTGGTTTCACACTAAACATTATACGTAATAAAAGGTTTTACAAGGGAACTGAAACGTACTTTTTCAAACGGAGACTAGAATGATCCTTTATATTCCTGTTATTTAGCCTTCACTTTCAAATAACGAGGCAGGACTCTGTACTGCTGCGTGCTCTCCTTGAGCCCTTGGACACTAAACGAATGTCAGAATAATTTGTTATTTCTCTGGTGTTTTTCACCTTCAGCTGTGACCCGCCACTTCCTGCAGCAGCCCGTTCCCGCTGCAGCGCACTCGGCAGTTGTGTCGAGTGGGAACCTTCAGCCTGGTCCTGACCTCTCGCTCAACTTACTGCTGCTCCCGTGACTGAAAAATGAGACAGTGCTATGACTCCGACTAAAAACTACCCAAATTTTTAACTTAGTTGTCACAAGTAAATGACAACTTTCACTCATTACTCATCTAGCTGAGTAACTAGTAGGAGGCTCCATTATCCAATGTTCATGTCTTGGAGCCAGCTGGGGTTTTCTCTAGTCTTTTCTTATTCTGACCCAAAGGAGCACTCCAGAACAGAAGAAATATACTTTCTTGCATATGTTGAGCATTTCTCCAGAAGTTTACCTATCTATAACATCTGGTTTTGTTGTTTATTTTTTTTAAACATATTTTATCAATAGGAGTTCTTTAATGACCAAGAATTTCTAGGATAGCATTTATGCACCTGCTTTAACAATTCTAATTGAACAGGCTTTTATGTCAATTACTTCCTTACATCTGTCAGTGCCTTGCACTTTGAATAAATACTCAAGCCATGGGTTTGGCTGAAGAATGAAAACCAAATGATATCAGAAATATTATGAGCTATTGCATTCCAATGAGAAACAATATGTAATCAAATTGTTTTTATGCTAGAATGCCTCTAAGTATAAAAACTAAGATACACAGCCAGGCTGATGTTACTAAACTAGTCCATGGTAGGGTCTTGTGAGCATTTGATAATTTGACTCTTATGACTAGCCCAGCTAAATGAAGGTTGCTATTTAACATGCTCACAATCACTGCCATGTCGGTTAAAAAGACAAGACAGAACCAGCAAGACCTGTAACAGTATTGTCACACTGTGGCAAGAGGATCAAATGTAACATTAGGTGTGACTCAGTGGTCTGTAAAAACAAAACCTTGTCAGCTATTTGTGAGAGATGTTTTTAAGTGCTTCTCATCTTAGAGAGGAAGTTGCTACTTTTTAAACCTATGTATGGGAAAAAAAGGTATTTCACGATTTGTCAACAGGAAAATCAATACTTAGATGGTATGTGACAGCTAAAATTAGCTAAGTAGTTACAGAATTCATATCACAAGAAAATGTATCCACATTGCAAGAAAACAGCTGTGGGAGGAATAGGGGAGGCAGCTGCCTGAACAGGCTTCTGCATCAGACTTTGTATTTGTGTTCAGTCCCTTCCTCTTCCAGACTTCTTGCATAACTTTGGAAAACTCAATTTGAACTGCAAAAGGGAAGTAGAATTTCCTTTGTTATCTTGTCTAGGGTAAGTATAAGATTTCAAGCATGGATTGCCTCATGCTATACATTAAGCAAGTACTTTAAGCAAAAAAAGTACTTCCTACTCTTAGTGGCTGTGCAAAGAGTAGTCAGCTATTGTTGGCAGAACGAAATGATAGTGTAAAGTTGTGAAGCTATATCCAAATAATGTACTTTTCGTACTAAAAATCAGATGCTACAGTGCCTAACTTAAGATACGGCTGCCTGGTGCGGAATCCAAAAGTCCCTGTCTGGCCACTGTTCTGTGAACTGAGGCATTTGCCACCTCGGGAGGGGATCGAGCGCAGCTGGCCTGCTGTGCAAGGACAGCATCTGTGCTTAAATGAAATGCTAAAGCTAAAGAACTGAAGCAGGGTTTGTAAAATTCCCGTCCTAGGACTCTCATACCTCAAGGATTCAGGGAAACGCCACCTTCTACTTGGGATTCTGTGGGTAAACGCACACAGTCTTCCGAAGAATTAAGTAAGTTTCTCTTTTAAAACACAAATTGATGAGGGAAAGGTGGTAGAGAGACTGTGCAGATATGTGACTGCAGTTGAAGTATGGTCTCTACCCTGACAATTGTTTCTGCATTTTTATGCAATTTAAATTGAACAGTCATTGAGGAACAATCCAATGCTCCCTGCTTTGGGTGTACCCTCATTAGTCAGACTGTCCAGGGACTGATGGATCTTTGGTTCATTTCTACACGGTAACAAACCACCCTCAAGTCAATCTTTGAAAGAGTGGACAGAAAACGTCCCTTAGAAAATGGGCTGAACCACAGCAAATTAACACAAAGCATCCACAATTAATTGTTGCCTATCAGGAGCTGCTCTTCAGCTAAGGACTTAAGTTGCTTTGGAATTCAGCAGATGTAACTAAAAGTTACGCAAAGACAGGATACTCCTATGAGCGATGAGATCATGAGGTAGTTTTCGTATGTTTGTTTTTGGCAAGTCACAGATACGTAAGTATGCTTTTCTGTCTGCTAACATGCAGGAATCCAAGGAATCTGATCCATTAGCAATGATAAACATTGTACTAGGAAAGTATCACTGACTGGCTGTATACTGGTGGAAGTCACATACTAATGGAATAAATTTAAATTATTCTAATAAGCAACACAAGAGACCACATAAATGAGAAATATACAGAATGTTTGCAATATGCACAGATCTGTAAAACCTAAGACCTAATACCTGCTACATTAAAAGAAAAACTACGGAGTCAAGCAGGCCAGTTTTCTGCAACTGGCTGGCAGTACTGCCACGTTAATCACAACGCACAGCTTCACAAGGACACCAGGAGAGAAATTCCTCTCGGGTATCTGTAGGGCACCTTCTAACCTCAGGGCTCCCTAGGAGCTGGGTGACTTACTGAGGTCTACTCCCCAGGCCTGCACAGGCTCACTTTTCTCTGAAAGAGATCTGCAAAAGGTGGTAAAAGCAGAAATTGTCATGTAGCTACATTCATGCACAGACACTGCCTGAAGTTGTGGTAACAGTTCAGTGTTAGCCACAACACAGTCCTGCAGCAACACGAGGCTGAACAGTTTCTAAACGCAATCCAGAAGTATCTGTTACTGATCAACTAGAATAACGTTCAGGACTATTTCAGGAATACAAGCATACAGCCACAAGCACTGTGAAGTTATTTGACAGAATTAGAGTAAAAAAGTTAGCATGGATTTACATTTTTATGACAAAAGATCAATTCATACACTTCAAATATGTAAGAAAAACAAGTCTACAAAAAGGGGAGACATTTCATACTTACAGAATACGTTGATATTCTCAGTTTCACAGCTGTGTTTCTTAGAATGTCTAACTGGAAAGAAACATATGCCACAGAAATAACCTGCTATAATCTCCTATCAATCTGCTTCTAACATTGAACAGCACTACATCTGTTACTTGGTAGACAATTCATGCATCTGCTAAAAGCAATGCTGCGTTGAATGGCATGTGTACAAATACACATTCTAACTGAGGTACGGGGGAAACAGAATACAGGTAAAGAAATGTTTTCTCTGCTTATCTAGCCTGTAATAAAGCATGGATCTGTTTGTGAGCTGGATCTAGCAATAAGCCCGTAGGAGCTGATACAGTCTGCTGTCTGTTCCTTAGGAGACACCAGCAACTCGAGTAGTCCGTGCTCCCTGAAAAGGCCTCCCACTACGACTTGAACTACTGCACTGTGATGGGAAAAGGTAGGACTCAAAGCATCTATCTTCTATGAACGCTACCTTCTATGCCTGTACATAGAAGCTGGGGAAGCAGGTGCAGCGGAGAAATGTGTCCCAAAACTAGGATCCAGTCTATATGGCTGACTAGGTTGGATCACCTTGAGATCAACTAGGCAAGAATCCAGTCATGAAGGACAAATAAGGCTTTCAAGGTATGATCTGTGAAAATGTGTCAGCCTCAGAGTGGATACGACATGGGTTTATAAATGCAAAGGTAAGAGGCAGAAAAAACCCCAAGCATTTACACGTCATCTTTCCACCAACGTAACGTTTCAGGTCAGGTCCTGAAGGTGGTGATGGAAACCCTTGCATACACAAACACCCCCACGCTTTGTGATTCACAGGCAAAGCTAGGCTAAGTGTGAGAGAGTGAAGTTCAATTGAAAACAAATTATTCAAGCAAAACTGGTGTTGGTCTGCCACTTATAATCATTAGAGTCTGGATTAAATTAATCCTCGGTGTAATTTACATTCTAATACAATGAAAGTTACTCTGTACACACATTCTCCAAATAGATAACCTGATCTTATGTCCCTAGGCAGTGTTCTGAGATAGTCCAAATAAAACTTCTGAGCTTTATCCACGCAAGGTCTCTATAGTCATCAGTTTGCAATACGCGTAGCAAAGAACAGAACTGAACCATCAGGAACCTCACGTGCTTCTACGTGCTGTTCAGTCTTTTGGGTCTGACTTACCATCAACTTAACTGAGTTTGTATTTCGGAATTTTAAAACACAGACTTTAGTTCTTGGAATGTTTCACGGTGACTATCCCTGCTTAAACTCAGTGGTTTGCTATTTAAAAAGTCTGGAGTGAGTAATGATGTTATTCCAGAATTCCGTTCCTCAACGTTTCACTTCTCTCCAGAGAAAGCCGCTGAAGATCCTTCCCAATATCAGGATGATCTTCCAGCTCTTCATATAACGATCGAACAATGTCCAGTTTCCTGTAGTCCATCGGTTTGACCAGACTGCGAACAACTTGGAGACATCTCTCCTTCAGGGTGAACACTGAGGTTAAAAACAAACACACACACACACACATGACCTCGTCACAAGGGCTCTTGTTAGCTGCCGCATCAAACAGTACTTCTCCAAGTACGTGAATACGGAACATAACACGTAGCAGCGTTATTCACAACACACTAAATTCACTAGAAAGAGAGGAAAAGAACTTCTTGTTTCCTGTTGTGAGGCACCCTACGAAACCCATCAGAGACATCTATAAATGAGACGTCTGTCAATAGCTCTAATCAATACAGTACAATGACACAGCTCGCTCTAGAAACCCTCACGATCTCTTCCTATTTTTAAGGTAGATTTCATTATCTGAGTACTTGATTTCTCACTAGGTCCTCACACTGAAGTCCAAAGAGATCAAGTACAAAATTCATCAGGTCCCACGGCACACACAGTCCTGTTTACCTGGCAGCGTGATGTCTGCTGTATTCACGTTGGGAGCTGCTATGAACAGCTCCTGCTGGTTGACAAGGAGCCCGTCGTTTGTCCCCGCGTCCCGGAACAGCCAAAGGTGACCTGGGAGAGAACAAGGTGGAAATGCAGCAGTTATCGCCCGTTGTAACGAGCAGTTTTGAGGGCCACCCGCAAGGAACCGATCTGCTCTCTCGTTGAGGCCACCACCTGTGCGACCGGGGGATGTCACCGGGGAGCGGGCCAGCGAGGAAAGGGAAGCGGTGCAGTCTCCCGGCCTCCGGAGCCGAGG